TCCTATATGTCCCTACAGCATCACAGTACTTATATCACTGGATAAGTACTAGACTATTGTTTGTTCTCTGTTTCCTCCTTTCAGACAGAAATTGTGCTCTTTCCATCACCAACCCCACCGCAATAACACACGTAGGTGTTCTGTAAACACCTGCTGAAAAGATGAATGAATGTTTCTTTACGAAAGTTAAACTCATGCTTATGCATGCATTCTTTTTTCCTGTTTATCAAAACTAGATCTAATGAATCAAGAGCAAAAGAAGGATTTTTATTTTTATGTTTTTTGAGATGGAGATTCACTCTTTTTGCCCAGGCTGGAGTGCAATGCATGATCTCAGCTCACTGCAACCTCCACCTCCTGGGTTCAAGTGATTCTCCTGCCTCAGCCTCCCAAATACCTGGGATTACCGGCACCCGCCACCATGCCCAGCTAATTTTTGTATTTTTAGTAGAGACGGGGTTTCACCATGTTGGTTAGGCTGGTCTGGAACTCCTGACCTCAGATGATCTGCCCGCCTGGGCCTCCCTAAGTGCTGGGATTACAGGTGTGAGCCACCATGCCCGGCCAAGAAGAATTTTTAAAATAGGCATCCAAGTTGCTTCTTCAGATGGTCATCTCCTTAAGATGACTCTGGCATTCACTTTAACTTCAAGCAATATCGTCTTTCAGGGATATGGCCAGAGGACAACGAGCCACGCTATATTTTTAATTACAAAAGCAAGACATATGTTCAATCGATACAGGAAGGTGGAGCCCATGGTGAGTCCACTTTTACTCAGCGGGGCTTGACAGCTAGCACTAAATCTTTCCAAGGATTTCAGTTTCATCTCGTTTCTTTTAGCCCCAGGAGTTTTTACACAGTACACATTTTCCACATGTAATTAAGTAAGGGAGAGTGAGTTGTTATACATGACATTCAAGTTTTGATAGTGGGGGAAGGTATGACAAGAGCTGCAGGCAAGATAATTAATCTCCTTGGATCCCTGCACTGCCAAATACAGCAATTTATTCGTTGTGTTAATACGGTTCTCCTCCTGTACTTAACTTGGTGTGCTCACATGAAGGGGAGAATGCCAAACACGAAAACCCACAGAACTGAATGTAGAGTGCATAGCAAGCACCCAGATTGTAATATGCATCTGGATGATACGGAGTTGAATAATTTAGTGTATCAGAGACCATATGTTTAGAGTACAATTTCCAGGATTGTCCAAAATCTAATGACGTGAAAAGGAAAAAGTGATTATGTAAGTCATGTATAAATAGCTGCAACTTGCTAATTTGTGCTAATGACCCACAGACCCCTTGCCAATTATAGATGAATTAGTATATGAATAAATACAAGTGCTAAAAGAATATGACAAGGACCTGATCACAAAATGTACATTGCTATAGACTAAAGGCCTTAGTTAATTAAAATGTTGCTTGCGGCATATTTTAATAGCTTTCTGTGATTACTGCTAATCATTCTCTAAAACCTGTGGCCAGTTCCCATTTTCATCTCAATTGTCAATAAATTTGAAAAACAGTTGCCAACGTATAAAAGCCAAAATTTTCTGTATAATGGAAAAGCACAGAGGATAATTTCAACTAAGGAAGGAAATTTTGCCAAATAGAAGTGCAAATTGTAAAGAAATACAATTTATAAAAACTAGTTTTCAAAGTTACATTATAACACAGTACAAGCTATGCAGAGTTCAAAAGACAAGCAAAATCGCATCTGTGGTGCTGAGATGATTTAAGTGTTAACTTTTGGAAACTTGGTAATGAATCGAATTTTAACTTCTTCAGGATTTGATTCTAAAACGGGCAAAATCAGGATTCTTATAATAAATAATTATTCAGAATCACTCCTATATGTTTTTTCTCCCTATAAAAGAAGATATAAAAAAATCTTAGCTAATTTGGGAAAGTACTGGGAAGAGGGGCTGAGGTATGAGGAATTTTGTAAAATACTGAGTTACAGAAATATATATTTTTTAATCCACAAAATAACAACAATGAACTTACTATAATTGTTGCCTTTGGACAATAAGTAATCTAGAACTGCTTAGTAGGAGCAAAAAGGAAATTCATTCAATAAAGCTTTCTGAACACTCATTATATGCTACACACTGTAATGGAAAGACCATGCAGGAAAGGTTCATGCTACAGTCTGAATGTTTGTGTCCCCTCAAAATTCCTATGTTGAAACCGAATCACCAACATGAAGGTATTAATAGGCAGGGCCTTTTGGAAGGTGTTTACGTCATGAGAGTGGGGCCCTCATGGTGGGATTACTGCCTTACAAAGCAGGCCCAAGGGAGCCCCTCCTGTTACATGGGATACACGGAATAGATCTATGAAAGAGGAAGCGGGCCCTCTCCCAGACACCAAATCTGCTAGAGCCTTGATCTCGAACTTCGTAGCCTCCAAAACTGTGAGAAATAAATTTCTGGGCCAGGCCCAGTGGCTCACGTCTGTGATCCCAGCACTTTGGGAGGCTGAGGTGGGCAGACCATTGAGGCCAGCAGTTTGAGACCAGCCTGGCCAACACAGTGAAACCCCATCTCTACTAAAATACAAAAAAAATTAGCCAGGCCTGGTGGTACACGCCTGTAGTCCCAGCTACTCGGGAGACTGAGGCATGAGAATTGTTTGAGCCTGGGAGGCAGTGGTTGCAGTGTGCCAAGATCGCACCACTGCACTCCAGCCTGGGTGACAGAGCAAGACTCTGTCTCAAAATAAATAAATAAATAAATGAATTTCTGTTCTTTGTAAGACACTCGGGTATTTTGTTACAGCAGTCCGAATGGACTAAGAATTAGAGTACAGATTTTAAATGTACATTGATACTTCTAAATTGCTTAAAATCACTTCCAGTAAATAAGCATTCAGTAGCATCCTTAATTTTGTGTATACCATTGATTTACTCAACAAATTCTTTTCTTGATTCTGTTCTGTTCAATGATCAAAACTGAAATAATCAGACTCTAAATTGATGGAGCTTTACTACTATGATTAAAATTCTATTCAGGTTTCTCTTCTGTCTTCTAAATAATTTCAAATCATTTAACCTTTCTTTATTGAAGAAGGAGGGTTTTATTTCCCAACGACACAATTGCATTAAATTATTTCCTTTGGACTCTATTCAATGTTCTTTTTGCTCTCTTTAAAATTGCACGGCCCTTGTGGGTAATACAAGCCCCACCACATGTGCTGAAGAGGTAAGTAATGTTGATAACAGCTCTTGTGGTAGCAGCCATCACTATGTACTAAATACCATGTGCAGATGCTGACCCTGTTAAGTGCTACATACATCTTCTCATGTACTAGCCACACAGTGTGCTTTTCTTTTTTTTTTTTTGAGACAAGGTCTTGCTGTCACCCAAGCTGAAGTGCAGTGGCGTGATCATGGCTCACTGCAGCCTCAACCTCCTTGGCTCATGCGATGCTCCTGCCTCAGCCTCCCAAGTAGCTTGGACTACAGGGCACATGCCACCACACCCGGCTAATTTTTTTCTTTTGCACAGATTGGGTCTCACTATGTTGCCCAGACCAGTCTTAAACTCCTGAACTCAAGCCATCCTACTGCCTTGGCCTCCCAAAGTGGTGGGATTACAGGTGTGAGTCACTGCGCCCGGCCCCCACACAACTTTATGCAAAGTTTTCAAGTCTAAACACACTACTTTTGTGGACTTCTCTCAATGAACAACATCTGAATCTCTTGAGTGCCGACCTTTCTTCAAAGTCTACTGAAATTTTTTTTAAATCAACTAACTCTAATTTTATAACCCTTGCCAAAAGAAAGGACAAGAAAACCAAAAAGGAGACTGGTGTCTAACAGAGGATGTCAAAGGAGAGTAAGGATAAAGGGCTCATCTTAACATACAAAGACATATGTGAAGGAGGAAGCTTTCACTCTCTGAAAATAGAGTAAAAAACTAGAAAGCCAGAAAGTGCCACTAGGTGGGAGAAAAGGATGCTAATACAGGATTTCCGTTTTTTTTGAGACAGAGTCTTGCTCTGTCAACCAGGTGGGAGTACAGTGGTGTGATCTCGGCTCACTGAAACCTCTGCCTCCTGAGTTCAAGAAGCAATTCTCCTGCCTCAGCCTCCTGAGTAGCTGGGATTACAGGTGTGCGCCACCACGCCTGGCTAATTTTTGTATTTTTAGTAGAGACAGGGTTTCACCATGTTGGCTTGGCCAGGCTGATCTCGAACTCCTGACATTGTGATCTGCCCGCCTCAGCCTCCCAAAGTGCTGGGATTACAGACGTGAGCCACCATGCCTGGTCTTTTTTTTTTCCTTTTCTTTTTTTTTTGAGATAGAGTCTTTCTCTGTCGTCCAGGCTGGAGTGCATGGTGCGATCTCAGCTCACTGAAGCCTCTGCCTCCTGGGTTCAAGCAATTCTCCTGCCTTAGCCTCCCGAGTAGCTGGGACTAGAGTTGTGTGCCATCACACCTGGCTAATTTTTTGTATTTTTCAGTAGAGACAGGTTTCGCTGTGTTGGCCAGTCTGGTCTCAAACTCCTAACCTCAGGTGATCCTCCCAAACTGCTGGGATTACAGACATGAGCCACCGTGCCTGGTCCTAATGCAGGATTTCTTCAGGAGCAAAGTAGAAGTGGAAAGGAATATTTCAATCACGTTAGTGCCCATGCTGGGAATAAAACCACCTCCTAATCCCAATGGTCCCTGGGAATGGACAGATCTTACTGCTGGTAACTAATGAGAAAGGGAAGAATAATAATGATTGTCATCATCCTAAAATAGCAGCTAACATTCTTTCACCCCTTACTCTCTGCTAGATATTGTATTGAGCATTTTCAATTTCTGAAATATCACAATGAATGAGGGAGGTGCTTTATTATCCCATTTTACAGATGATACCTGAGTCCCAGAAGGAAAAAGAAGCAGAGCTACAGTGAACATAGAGGGTTAGGTACATGACCTAAAAATAATTCAGATTTACTTGTCATTTCAGTCCAATAAAGAGAATCAAACAACCTCATTTCTACTGCTGATGTGGCAATGTTGGCTACAAACAGTCAGATCCCTAATTCTGATTTACTTGTACCAAGAGGGCTCAATCAGCTTGCAGGGGAGATGTGAGTAAATGTGAAGCCCCAAACACACAATACAACTCTAGGCAGCAGTGCTGACATCTTCTCTACTCCGGGTTTCTCACCAGCACTCTTACAAGGAAGCTCCTAAAAATGTCCTCAGTTCCATTTTCTTGTTTATTCTTTAATGAAGACATTAATGATTCAGCAAATGTACCAAATAATAGTGACAGGAAGAGAAGTTAGCAGGTCTCATTATATTTATATACAGGATAAATGGATCCAGAAAGGGAAGAATGTTTTATAACTGAATTATAAATACTAGCCTCAGCTACC